GGGCGGCCGCCTCTACCGCCTCCACGTACCTTGTTATTGTTGCCTGAACTATAGTGTCTGCCGTTCTGCCGTTCGCCTAGTCGGTGTTGCCCGTAACCCACCGAGGACACCTGCGATTGCTTCTTCGTTGGCGGAACACTAGTCGTTGGACTCTCCTTCATTTCAGAACGATCGCGCTTCCGACTTTCGTTCGTGAACTCTGGAACGATGCTGCTCGAACTGCCCGTCGTTGAGGGCGCGCCGGAACTCCTCGAGATTCCATCCGTTCGGATTTTAATCTTCAGCGGAGCCTGAACTACGGACTGACCCGGTGAACTAGATACATTGTCCGTACTCTTCAGTCGTTCCTTAGGAATAATAATTTTGATACTAGTATTCTGAGGCGACTTGTTTTTGTCAGTTGGCACTGTATTCGCACCGGTGTTTCCTGTCGATTCTGTGCTCAGATTCAATTTGTCTTTAGGAATTGTGATTTTGATAGGTACTGCAGGCACAGTTTCTTCTCCTTTTTCTTTGTCCTTGTCTCGATGTTTTTCTTTATCCTTGTCTTTATGCTTGTGTTTGTGCTTTTCTTTACTCTTCTCCTTATCTTTGTGTTTATGCTTCTCCTTCTTTTTCTTCTTTTCACTCTTGTGATGCTCCGATCTCTTCTCTTCTACAGGGGGTGCGACGGTTATGGTCGTCGATGTTGGTACAGAGAGAATGGATTCTGTATTTGCTTGTACGGGGCCAGACAGAGCACTTATATCTACGGTCGAAGCTATCATTGGTTCGGCAACCGATGATAGAGGCAGACACTGACTTTGAACGGGTTCCTGCTGTGCGAGCAACATCGAATGAGATATCGATGGTTGATGTTGAGGTTGTGGTGGTTGTTCATGTTGAAGTTGCTGTTGCTGTTGTTGCAACTGCTGTTGTTGAAATTGTTCCTGATGAACTTGCTGTTGTGGTGGTATTTGACTAAATTGTTGCATATTTTGTAATAACGATGGCATGGGTGCTAAAGGTTCCTGAAGCAGAGCACTTATACTTTGAGCAGATTTCATTGGAGATAAATATTCTCCTTTAATCTGATGTTCAGCCTTTATTGGTATATCTGTTTTATAGGTTTCCTTTTTAATTTGGAATTCTTGAGACTCTTGCTTCACTAAATTAGTATCCAGTCCATTCGTCAAACCCTGTTGATTTGATGATATCTGTGGCTGTGTAGGTATTGTGCCAAAACGTGATATCGTTGGCTCTGAATCAAAAGGTTTAATGAGCTCCGGTGGTTTCATATCATTCGCAATTTGAGTGGCTCTACCATTCGCCGATGGATTATCTCTAATAGGTTGTATCAGTTCCGGTACTCTACCGAGCATCTTAACTGCCTCGAAACTGGACGTCGTATCATCCATTTTTACTTTCACTTGCTGTCCACTTTCGCTAGTACTACACGTGCGATGCCTTTTATGGGACGTTGCAGAAACATCGTTAGCCGATCGTTTAACCGATTGCGTTTCTTGCTGTTGCAAACCTGGTGGGCTTGCGAAAGGTGATACTAAATTAAAGCCTATCGATGTGTCTGGTACGCGTTCTTGTTTAGGAACTTTTGCAGCCGAAGGTGGCGTCTTTTGTTTAGTCTTAAGCCTCTGTGAATGAGATTCCCGAGGCGTTGGTACTTTCTCTGGACTGAATAGCGATTTCGGCTTACCAGGGGGGGTTTGTAACACATTCTGTTGGATATCGGACGAACTTTTGTCTGTGTCATCATGCCGCGGTCGTTTTTCAGTTTTTGGGTCGTCAAGATTATTCAACGAGGATAAACTCGACGACTGAGAATTACTATTTTTAATCGTGTCCTTTAATATTTGTGATACACCATGAGCTGTATGTTGACTGGATATTGTCTTCGAAGATAATGATTTTTGACTAAGCAATGAAACGGAGTTACTCGGAGACTTTTCTTGTGAAAATGAACTCTGGCTAGTACTAAGTTTCACATCGGTCGGCACTACACCAGAACTACCTTGTAACTTTTCTGACTGATTGTATTTTATATGGTGTGACGGCGGCTTTTGTGTATTTGAACTATATGGTACATCAAGCGTCGGTTTAGGTGGAGGTATTGACTTCTCAATGAGCTTTCTAACCTCTTCACACCTTTGCTCCAACGTATCAGACTTTCTTTGTCGATCGATTCTACTTGGATCTGGATATTTATATGGCTTTTGTTCATTATCTTTCCTATGTTCTACTGGTTTATGCCTTGGATCATACATTCTTTTATCATGACCCTGATGTTTACTTTCTACTCCACTTAATCTGTGCAGACTATGATTATTATTACTAAGTTTCTCCTGTATATTCCCATGAGGCGTTGGCTCTTGTAATGATCCAACATCCGATCTGTGAGTAACGGAATCGGTTATAGAATTATCCAAAGTTTGTTCCTTCGATACGACATGACTGTGAGAATGGAGAGCACTACCACTACTACAACTACTGCTACTTATACCAGTGTTCGAACTGTATTCTCTTTGTAACCTCTGTCTATTGGGATCACGATTTGGTTCCCTAGCTTGAGTACTACTCGAGTGCCTCTGGGGCACTGGTTGTCCAACTTTTATATCTGGTCTATGATGATGATTATGATGGAGTGTCTTCTGTCCAAGAGGCAACGGATGTTTGTTCAGCACATTTGTACTAGATACAGGTTTGTGGTGATGAGAATGGTGCTTATTAATATCCGATGCATGACTTGGCGCAACTGATGCTGGAACTGATGCCTTTTCTCTTTCCAAACGCTCGCGTTCTTTCTTTTCTCGATATTCCCGATAATCTACAGGAGGTCTCGCAGGTGCGGGAGCGTTCTGTTTCTTTTCTTCTTGTTTCTCCGCTTGATGAGGTCGATTTGTGTGGAATGTAGGTCCACCATCGGCCGTCGTCGCAGGAGATTGTACCTTGCGTGGTTCCGCATCCTACACAAAACATTGAGTAAAATTATCTAATAAATTGAAGTTATTATATTAACTTTAATGTAGGATAACAATTCTTTTGTAGTATTTAATATGATATTATGATATGATATATTTAATAAAAATGCTTACAAAGGGTGAGTTCGGTAAACTGGGATGATTAATGCTTGGACTTTGATTAGCGGATATGCTCATTATTTTTCTTTTCAATCTTGATGGGCACTTATCAAATATATGGAGGAATTCTGCTGTAAGCTCTTGTAATAGTTCGGATGTCACACTTCTGTCGACGTACCAGAACCAGTGCTTCCCTTCCGTACTTTGTGGTATCTGGAAGCAAATAATCATTATGTTATAATTTATAGCCAAGTATTTACAGCCAAATACTTTACCTAAATCATAGTAATAATGCTTACCTCCCAATTAGACCATTTACATGCAAGATGAATGCAAAAGCAGGCAACTACCGTTGGCTTGTACTGCAGACACATGGTTGTTAAATGCAAACTGGAAAGAAAAGATTATCTTATAAATTTCTCTTATGAACAATGAACAGTGAAGACGAAATATAACCCACGGCATAAAAAGAACTGTACTATAAAATCAAAGTACTAGTTCCATTAAACATGGGTAATATCGGGATAAAACCAAGACGAATTTTTACGATTCGTTGAAAATAATTAACAATATTTCCAATTATATTTTCCGTAAACGGAATTTAATTCCAAAGAGTACGTTTCCAAAACAGTTAAAAAAACAGCATATGTGAATGTGATACTTTTTTGCGATGAGCTACACAAAAATTTACGCACAAATGTTATTAGCTAAAGCAATATGCGATATTTTTCTACATAGTAATAATAAACATAAGCCCTACAACACTCTGTTGTATCGTAACAAATTTACCGAAGTTTGCCCCAACATAATCCCATGATAGAGAGATATGTTAAGCTATATATTTTTTTGTTTGAGAATGCATTATTTCAGGAAATAAAATATCTTATAAACTTGCGCTAAAAATTATTTCTTAGTAAAGAAAAATGTATAAATCTTCAAAAATGATTTCTTTGTAACAACAGAGATAGATTAAGGCTTAATTTACATTGATTATTTAGTCGTAATTACAATCTGTTCAAATATTATTGATTAAATAATATTTGAATGGATTATAGTAAGACTATGCCTGTACCATAATTTTACTATTTGATTACTATTGTAAAATATAATTTATCGGTATAGCTAATTATCCTTCTTTTATCATTAAATTTTTTTGGACATTCACTCGTCATTACATTAATTCCACATTCATTTCACTCACGCTTAATTTATTTTGTGCATCTACTGCTTAAAAATAAGTGTATGTAAATATAAAAATAAAAGCTGGACAGTATATACCGTAATGTAAGAGAAAACGATCAGTCCTTAAGAATATTTCATTTACCTTCAATTAAGCAATCCTCATCGTGAACTTAGTTTACGAAATAAACTTCGTTTCGCTTTGGCATACGTTCTCTTTAGAATCAGACATTACCGCGACTGCAACGCAACATTCCTCCCCAAAAGTTACTGTTGACATTTAAACATTCACATTAGAACTGAAGAAAAAAGTAAATGAAATCAAAGTAAACTTTTCTATACTAAATTTCTGTTTCATTTTCATGCTTTGATGCAATATTTCAAATTCATTCATTCAAAAACGTTGCTTTTAAAGCAAAGAATTGTATTATTTATCAAAGATATTTACACAATTTTATTCCACGTTTACTTTGCTTTCTAAGAAAGATATAGGTCAGAATGTTGCGCCAGTGGCTATTGCCTGACAATATAGCTTGGAAATATACTCCAGCTGGCATCTATTTGACCAGAAGACTGCTAAGAGTAAGTGATACTAGGAAATAATGTGTAGCCACCTGTTAGATGCCATGAAGTACGAAGTCTGGGCTAAGTCCTTGCTCGCTGCAAAAAAAAGAATGCAAACATTTAACTAAAATATTTTATAAACAATATCTAAACTTGTAAGATTTCATAGTTTATCGTTATAGTTTATCATTACAGAATCAATATCTTCACAAAAAATATAGGAAAAATGTAAATGTAGTAAATTAATATTATACAATCCTTTTTAAACATAACATACGTACCTTTAACCAGTTGACAACATCTAACAACATGTGTGTGGGGATGATCAATGGCGACATCAAACCCCAATGTTTGTAGTAGAACATTTTCGTTGAATACCAGATCTTGAGCTTGCTCAAGGTATTGCTATAAATCAAAATACGTTGCAATGATTAAATTCATCATTAACTACATACATGTTACTATTGATATTAATCTCTTTTATCTTACCTCAGATCTGACATCAGGTGGGGGCTGATCTCTGTGGAGACACATGTGTGCCATTTTGATAACATGTTCTAACTTGCGCGGTTGTTCTTCTACTTTTGCTGCTAAAAATAGTGCTGCTGCTGCAATTGCATTCCTGTGGAAATGTGACAGCGAGTGAAATACATAAAATCTGTGCATATACACTATTGCTGTGTTGATACATAATTGTGACCTATATTTATCTAATTAAGGAAAATATTAAATAAATAATGTATTGTTAACATGTACATAATATTTATAATCAATTATTTATTAAATTTACTAAAATTATATATATATTGTACAAATTTCAGAAATATTTGTGCTATACAATATAAATCATGGACAATATTACAATCCATTATAAAAAAAATATTTTCTGACTTCTTTTGTATCTTATTATAAAGATATTGTTATATAATTATTTCAAGTAATTACAAAAATAATATTTAAATTATTTAGGAATATGTAAACAAATAAAATAATAAAAAATAATATATTACATTAAATATTTTTCATTGGAATACTAGCCACATATTTATATAATTTTTTAATATCTAAAAAATATCAACTTCCCATAATAATAAATATAAATAAAAATTACTAAAACAATAAACATAATTGAAACACAGTTCTTAATGATTATTTTTAAATTATTAAATTATATGGTAAGATTAAAAAATGGGGGGCACAACAGATTATACGTAAAAAATTTTATTTAATCTCTATATTACATTAATATGAAAAACTTGGTCAAATAAATCACATAATTTTGATGCATATTCTTGATTTTCATCTGTATTTTACTTATGTTAAGATCTTCTTCATTTATGCTTTCTATCATATTATTAATTTTCATATCTTAATTATTTGTTATTTTACTAAAAGGAAAATATACAAATGAAGAATTCAGAACAAGTTACAATACAAAAAATATAGAATAATATGAAAAACAAGTATTACACTATATATTAGACATCATTAATGTATTTTGCCTACAATAAGTATTATTATACATGCACTACAGAAAAGTAAAACTACAATTTACTAATATGACTGTCTTTAAAAGAGTTCCACATTTGTAAACCTCTAATTTCAAATAATATGAAGACTATGCTGAAGTTCTCACAATTGGAAAGATAATTAATATGTTTATGATCTTTATAAATATAAATCTGAAACATAAAAATATTATAGGAAATAGAAATAGAATTTCTACATACTACATTGGGAAAATATAGCTAAAATATTCCTGAAATAGAGGATATTATTAAATATCTAGTATTATTAGTACAAGTTTAATGCAAAACTAGTGTAAATTTCATAGCTAGTTAATAAGTTAGTACATGTTAAATTTACTATATTACTTTTTATGCAAGCAAAACAGCGTCTGATCTGTTTGCAATGTTCACAGTTAATTGTTTTCGTACAGCATGATTTTGAGAATAGAAAATACTACTTGTACAAAATTTTTATTGTCCTCTCTTTGTAACCTTTGTCAATTACTTCTATTACTTTTTGTACTGATATAATGAAACATCGACAATGCATTATAGTGTAGCATTGATGAACCACCTCCAGTCCCGATCCGATCTTAAGCACACACACATATATATATACATGTATGCATTTATATACATATATGTACATACATATATAAATGAAAAATATAATAAATAATATACCTGCGTAAAAAATATAAGCAGAAATTGTAATTCTGGTTGGTACTACTGTCAAACATAGCTTGGCAAACAATGCTACCTTTCCATGACCCTATTCTATGCCCTCCTTTTGAATACTAAGATTCTAATAAGCACGTTTATTGACTAGCATTATTCTATTATCAATATGAATATACCGAATAGCACAAATATTTCGAAATTCAGTGTATACCAAAGGTAACGTAGTAAAGTTCAATATGGAGAATCGTAATCATGACGCGTGACCTCTTCTTTCGCACGTCACTCATGTTTACAACAAGATAGGAATTTTACGTGAATACCGAAATTTCAAGTATTAAAAGATAAATGTGTAAAGAGGATCCATTCACATAATCGTATATGATAGTTTGGGGGTGATTTTGAATTGATAGAAAGAATAAAGGAAACGTAAAACGACAATGGGGATAGGGGGAAAGGGAAGTTGAGAAACACGCAACTAAACATGCATTCGTTAAAAGGATACACCACAAGCCGCTGTCCCATATCCTGAATAAAATTTGCTGCCTGCTGCCTGTAGCTCAGTTCCTTATCTGCGTCGATGCCGCATCTTCTGCTCGGCGTATTTATTAGCTGTTCTTTCGTGAAGTACCATTTTTCGTCAGCCGCCATTTATATGTACACACAACTAGGTACTAACGATGCGCACTTCACAGTGGTCAGCTCGACTGGCGGCGAGCACACAATGCACAAACAGCAAACGTTGAAAACTTCACGTCACTACGCTAATCAAAACCCATACCCAAGCTCATACTTGATCAACTTTGTCACAGCGAAACATAACCGCACATCGAATAAATATCTCTCTTTGTAATATGAAACTATTTTTTTTATAAATACTTCAAATTGCCTTCTCTATTATTTTTCTCATTTATTTTATACAATATGCACTTCATATTAAAAAGGTTCCATTTTGAATTCCGGAAATGACGTCTTCTGTTTTTCACGGCACTGCTTTAGAATCGTGCAGCAAATGAAAAATCAACTTGAGAAATTCTTTTGTAGGCATTTGTTATATTTTATCCATTTTATGACATGAGATTGCCGTAGTTTAGAGGTTAATACGAAACTTGAAGATATTGTTAAAATTAGTTTATGGACGTTTTATTTGTTTAATAGTTTACAAAATTAGCCTCTTTTCCGTATAATAGTCGTAATAAATTAGTAGAATCAATGTTTCGATAATGCATCACAATAACGAGATTTATTTTTTAAGATTCGTCATAAAAACTGCTGCATTTTTACGTAAAGTTCCGTAGATTTGTTATTTATAATTAAGGTAAAGTTTAGAGCTCGATATACGTCAAACATTCAGGATAATCAATTATATACGACATTATTTACTGTACGGAAATATCTTTCGAAGTTTCTATTTTTATATTATCGTACACCACATTAAAAAACTTGATTTATTAATTTTTGGCAGGCCATGAGGTTGGTTATGGAAATAATACTATTACTCTTTCGAATAGTTTTAATTGCAATAACAAAAATAAAAATTCTGTGATATCTTATCTTGCTTGAGGTACTAAGGTTACTTAACCTTGTCACAACATTTGTGCACTTATAAAATTTATCCCACTTCATTAAAAATAAAAATTGTAAAACGTTACTCTTGTCGATGTGTTGCACAACAAATTGTAATATCTTCTGGACACCGACGAATGTAATAAATGTACACTTGAATTAATTTAAACTAAATATCAATATAATTCTACGTAGCAAACACGTTGCATTGGTTAACTGTAAACACAGGTGTGTATCGTAAATTCAACTTGGCTAATATTTTATGACCAACGTCATAACCTACCTGAATTTTTTCTCAGTCTACGATAGGTATGAATCACGTAGTTTATCAATTAGAAGTTTTAGAACTTTAAACTTCCGGAAGTGACGCAGTGGTCGTTGAGCTAGTAGTATGTGTTTGCAGCCAATGTTACCCCTGTAATAGCGTCCCGTTATCTTTGTCCTATTGAAGGATCCAGTGTGTCTTTCGAGTTGTTTGTCATTTATTTGTATATAACTTCAGACTTGCTGCACAATCGCCAATAATTTACATTTCACGATATCTTAATCTTTTTTTCATTCTCTTGATATATCCAGAAATACGCTGACGGTGATAAGCGTGATTCAATTGGCACTGACTTTCCTTCACGGAAGAATTGATGTAAGAGATCACAGTAAGTTTCTAATAGAATAATGCTTCGCGGCTTTTTTAAGTCCCGCTCAGTTTCGTTTTATTCGAATTTTCACAAAAACCAATCACATGCCGTCTCATTCTTTCGAAATCCGTACATACATCAATGAGACTTCATTCAACATCTCACGTATAAAATGGCGGCGACTACCACTTGTTACATATACATTTTATATTACAATTTTATTTTATAAAATGATATAAATTCGAACATTTGTAATAAGTTATGTATACTATAATTTTTTATATTTAAAATATCGTTCGTTATCGAAATTATTTTCAACGAATGAAATTAATAAAATTGTTTTGTTTTCCGCTGTAAATTCTCGCGCCAAATTTGAAATTAGAATATGAGAAAATCACACTGTTTTGAATTTTATTTTCAGAAATAATTCATAAAATGCAGTTATCTTGCGATTTTTTCTTATGCGTTATGAGGAGCTTATAATAAAATTGTATAATTTTTATTTATTTCATAGGTAAGTTATGTTTCGTATCCCAAAAACAACAATGCCTGTGACTATTGTAGCCACAAAAAAGCCCAAACAAATGCAAACGTGCTTATATTCATCTTATGAATGCTCACAACCTTGTCTTGATGGATATACTTATTGCGCCAAGCATATTCTTGAGGATCCAAATGCACCTTTCAAGCAATGTGGTTTTGTATATAATAGTAATGGCAGAAAATGTCAAAATCCTGCACCAAAATTGGATAGAAGAGATATTTTGTATGTATCAAATGTAAATTTAATGAATATTTTGTTTATTATGTATTTTAAATTACATATGAAAAATCTATCTTTAATATATATATACAGATATTGTAATGAGCATGCTAGAAAAGCCCAAATAGCACGTATAAAATCTACAGCAAAACATTCTTTACCACAGACACCTGAAATGCTCTTACTTAATTTAAGTCACTATGTTAAGAAAACAGATTCAAGTACTGAAGATACCGAAGATGAAGAAGGAAAAATCAAAGCATTAGACCCTTTTAGTAAGCTTTGATCTAGTAGTCTGTTAATAAAGGAAAAATTAAAGCTGATTTTAAATTAAATGGGAATATCATATTAAAATCGTTTTTTAGCTGAAGTTGATGCATACAGAGTAAATGCAAGTGGAAGTGATATTTTGGATTATGCAAGTTCCTCTGATAGCGATATTGAACCTACAACAGTGACTGATACTTTAAAAGGAAGTTATCTTGATGATAGTGATAATGAAAGTTTATACAGTGCACAAGAAGATCCTTTAAAGTAAGAATATACTTATATATAATTACTTATACTAATTTATTATTTTATTCTGTTCTGTAGAACAACAGCTAGCTTGCTTTGGCTTGAGCAAATCTTAAAAATGGGATTATATCAATTATCTTTATCTTTACTTACTTTCCTTTCGTAGTTGCTTTTTGCAAAAATTAAACAGTAATTTCTATGGAATCATTAGTATTAATTTTTTAAGGCATGCTGGAATTTTTACTGCTGAGGAGGTGATCTACATTGCGCGAGAAAAACTAATTAGACTGCAATCACTTTACATAGATCAGTATAGAAGACTACAGTACATATTAAGAGAGAAAAGACGAAAGTATCTACATGCCCTTAAAAAGGAAAAGGAAACATTATGTAGTATACATGACCAACCAAAAGAAACTGCAAAAGAAAAGAAAATTTATGAAAAATTAAAAGCCTTAAATCGTTATCATAGACGAAGTGGAGTTGAAGCTATATTATATAGAAAATCTTTAGAACGTAGAGCACAGGTTAAATGCAATTTTATTATTTTGTATAATATATAGTGTTAATATAATATACGATGATAATAAAAATTATAATTATGTATTCATTATAGGCAACTGAAGGACCCACTCAAAAAATACCAAGTATATCAAAATGTATCTTTACAGAAGGTGGAGTAAAATGTGGAGAGAGAACTCTTCCTGCTGCAAAACATTGCCGCAAACATATCCTTAAAGTAAAATAATTTTATTTAATTACATAATCACAACCAACATAAAAAATGTATAAAATAGTTAACAAATTTTATTATGTTAATAGGATCAACATCAAGTTTTATTCAAAGCATGTGGAGCAATTCGAGCAGATATAGAGTGTCATGAACCAGTACCTGTAATTTTTGATACAAATTGCGTGTTTCACATGAACTTACCATCTGAATGTAAATTAGAAACTATGAAGGTAAATATTTAAACAGATATTTTCATTGATAAATGTGATATAATGATATTAATTTTAATTATTATTACACAATATTCAGTTTAAAGAATCAAAACCTGAAGCACAGGAAATGTCAGCAACAGATAATCAATCTGTGGAAATTGATGTAGTAGGAGAAATTCAAGAAATTGATCCAGACGATGATATGGCAGGATTAATGAGAGAGATGAGTGATGCTGCACATATGAAACCAGTATTTAATGAAAGTTTAAATAGTGAAGCTAGCACAGATACAGCTTTTAGTTTATCAGCACAGATGAGTGATAGAGATGATCTTGTTTCTGTGTGACAAGCTCTTTTTCTATGACTTCAAATCATAGATTAATGTTTGTTGTTACATAATTATGCAAATTTTATTTATGAATTTTATTCAACTTAACTATATTCTTATCTGTATATTAAGTGCCTAAAATTAAAAGTGATATGAACTCAAACATGAATATTGTGTGACAACAAAGGATGTGTATCATTCAGAATAATAGTGGTGTATCTCCAATTTTATTACAAACAAAACTATACCACATACATGTTCAAGACAATTTTAAGTATTAGTATAACAATGAAGTTCCTCCATATGTACTACATTTACCATATTAAAATATTGATAACATTTCATTACTTGTTTTAGGTCATCCCATAAGTTCGTGTCGACTTTTGTGTATACATTTCATGTGTCGATTTATAAACATACGGCGATAAGGGACCAATGCACTTGAGTTTAGCAGATCGAAAACAGGCTAGAGCAGATTTTCGTGGGATAAGATCGTAATATAGTGAACACAGTGACTTCTAACAGTAAAAAGTCATGAGTGAAATGCGTATCCATTTTCGACATCTCATGTTATATGAATTTCGGAAAGGAAGTTCTATAATAATTGCCACGAAAAACATATGTACTGTTTACGGAGAAAATGCGCTTTCATCTCGCACCTGTAGGAAGTGGTTCCAACGTTTTAGAGCTGGGAATTTCTGTTTAGAAGACAAGGAACGCTCCAGGCGTTCTCCTCAGACAGACGAAGATAAAATTCGAGATCGTGTTGAAAAATCACGAAGTTTGACAGTTCAACAGATGTCAAATGTTCTGAAAATACCTAAGACAACGATTCATAGGTATTTAAAAAAAATGGGGATGGTGTCAAAGTTGAACGTTTGGGTGTTCCATGAACTTATGGAACGGAACCGTCTTGAACGAACAACAGCGTGCATGTCATTACTTGCGCGTAATAAACATGAGCCATTCCTTAAACGCCTGGTAACTGGTGATGAAAAGTGGATACTTTACGAAAACCCTGAACGGAAACGTAGCTGGTCCCAACGAAATCAGCCACCTCAACACTGTGCAAAACCAGGGTTACATCCACGTAAAGTTCTTTTGTGTGTATAGTGGGATTATAAAGGAATACTCTATTTTGAACTTTTATCTAGTGGTGATACCATTAATTCAGACAAATATTGCAGTCAGTTAGAAAAATTAAGGGAAGCACTAGCTGAAAAACGACCAGGTTTAGTGAATAGGAACAACGTTATCTTCCATCACGACAACGTTAGATCGCATGTCGCGAAAAGCGTTACAAAAAAATTGTCTGGATTTAATTGGGAAATTTTACCACATCCCCCATACTCCCCAGACATTGCCCCATCTGATTACCACCTGTTCAGAGCATTACAACACTTTTTAGTAGGTAAAAAATTTGAAAATATTGACATTCTCAAAAATAGCTTAGAAAATTATTTTAAAGAAAAACAAGAGAACTTTTATCGAGACGGAATAATGGCCCTACCAGAAAAATGGGAAGAAGTTGTACAACGAGAGGGGGATTACATTTTTTCATGAAACTGAAAGGTATGTAAACAATTAAGGGTACGTAAACAATCTTAACATATATAATCGCTCGAAAAACGGCACGAACTTATGGGATGACCTAATATTTGATTGATCCAAGAATATTTCACAAAAGCTTGTTTTTCTTGAAAAATCAATAATGGAAGTTACACTATTATTATTCTAAACTACTCATATGTATTAATATAATTTATATGTTCATGTATTTGTGTACATGTGCAGTTACTAACAATCATTTTCATTTGTAAATATTGTGACAGCCACTGTCACCTTTTCATTGTACAACTTTAAAAATAAAATACAAATGCACCTTCTTAAATGATTATTTTATTTCCTCTATTATGACATTTTTCCAATAAATTATTATTTCAATATTATTTATTTTTTGATATTGTGTTTCATTTGATACTAAAGTTAATTGAGAAGAATATAATGATCACTACAAATAAAGGATTAAGTATAGCATCTTAGAATAACTATTAATAAAGTAGTTATCAAAATGTATTATAGCAAATAAGAACAAATTTGCTTAAAAAAACAATGAGCTCAAAACAATGAAATATTCTTTTTTTAGTACAAAGCAACAAATTTACTATTTCCACTTATATGTAAGAGAAATTAAAATCTTCCATAGGATAGAGTAATATATGAACATTTTTCCAAAAACTAACGTTTATGCTTTCCATTTAAATTTTTACAAAAAGCGCAAATCATTTAGTTAAATACATTAGTATTAATATAAGATATAATGTAAGAAAGTATTTTGCTTACAAGAATATAACACTTTTTTTCAATTTTTACATTTTCTGTAAAAAAATACATAGTTATTGATCATGGTATTAATCATTAACATACAAACAAAATAAATGTAACTTACAATAAGTAGATGAGGTTTTACCCTAATTTGGTTGTTTAAATAGTAAATTTTTTAAGTAATAAAAAAGTGCACAATATATGTTTTGAAAATGAATGTTCCACTTCATTACAACAATAAATGCACTGTATAGAAATAATTGCAAACAAATTTTGTTTAAAACGCAGTTTTAGAAAATTGAAGATGTTTCAGTTTTTTTTACAATCGTAAATAATGGTTGTATTTTCTTATATAAGTACAGCTAAAAATATTTAGCTCAGAAATTTTAATTGTGTATTATCTTAAGACATGCAGATATGTACATATAATTGTAATTACCAATTCAACAATTGATAATTACTGTGGCAGTATGAGTATTTAAAATTTTTAATATACCCAATTATGAATAGTGATTTACCGCCTCAATTTATCTGTGTCCATACTTGATGAATTTACTTTGTGTATAAGTGTATCTATAGTTACATAAAACTAGAATATGTACTCTGTGACATTATCAATAATCATCTTATTTGGTAGTTAGTTACTAAAACACAAACTTATATACAGGGTGGTTGGTAACTGGTGGTACAAGCGGAAAGGAGATGATTCTACGCGAAAAAAGAAGTCGAAAATATAGAATAAAAAGTTTTCGCTTGAGACTTTGTTTTCGAGAAAATCGACTTTGAATTTTTGCTCGGTACGCGTGCGGTACGTTATAACGGATCTCACTGTAGATCGTTGTCTCAATGGAAAAATTAAAAAAAATAAAAAAATTTTTATTCTATATTTTCGACTTCTTTTTTCACGTAGAATCACCCCCTTTTCGCTTGTACGACCAGTTATCAACCATCCTGTATATGCACTTTCTTGATAGTATTGTATGATATTTAGAACTTTGTGCAAATGCAGAATAATTACTACAAAATAATTTGAAAGAAATAAGAACCAAAGATTCAAAAAATAAACATTTTCATACTAGTTTAAAATGCATTTATGATCAAGGTGTCTAATTTTCCATAATTTAATAATAAATGACTTGATAACACTGCTTTTTTTTCTGATCTTATAATTCAACTAATATATATCTATTTCAGCTTAAAATTATCATAAAGCATATAGAGCACTTTGTTAACTTTTATAATAATACATTCATGATAGAATTACGTATAACATTGATTCAATTACAAAGTATTTATCTGAAGCTGTATTTATCTAAATTATTATATCAAAATAAAGAATGCAATTATTAAATATATCACAATTAAACTTGGGTACTGATACAATGATAATTGTAAAACACATACATATCATGTAAATGCTAGGTGTCTGATAACTAAGGAAATAATATAGATTTTAATTATAATTGTTACAACAGTCAATACATATACATACTGACACATATCTCACCTAAATATAGAATGAAAATGTTCATATTGTTTATAGAGAATCGGGTACATTAAACTAAAAATATTTTAATTAAAATAAATGTCAATGAAGTAATAGCTATTCAATTTTTGTACACGATTTTTTTTATATTAACTAGAACATTACATCTCTCATTTTTTACGATGTAAGCCAATCATCATTTACAATTAATAGACTTAAAATAAAGAACTGCATGGCATTTTCATAAATTTATGTGATTTTAGTAATAAAATATAAAAAATTATCTGTTAAAAATTGATTACAATTACCTATCTTTATAATAATTTATCAAATAAATTGCAAAATGTTCAACTTTTAGCTTCAATCCTCACTGTTTTTATTGTTTTCAAAGAACGCAATATCTCAAATATAATTTTTAATAAGCATACTTCAAATATTGTCGTTGCATTTGAATTACCTAACTTTCTTCAAGTTGTTTAGCTCATTTGTTCTTGTGCACCGAATACTCTTAATATTGTAAAACATTTATTCCATTATAGTACCTTCTTAAGTTTTTAATAACAAACTATGTTGCTATCAATAAGAAATCTTATGCTAAATGTGAGAAGGAGAAAAAGTAAATTGTTTATATTATAGTAACAGTAAATATTGTTTCGGTAAGAATGGGCAGTCAAAGCTTTATTGACTTAATTGTTGACTGTAAATATAGTTCTAGAAAGTACTGCAAGCTTACCATTGTTCAAAAAACTTGTCAGTCTTTGTAAATTTAATCACTGAATATATTTTTAAGATCGTGTTCATAGAGCGCTATAATTAACATTATTCCAAGGCCACACGATAGCCCTAACGCTTGTAAAATACATTGCCATTGAGAACTACGCTCCACAGAGTGACTTGAAGATAATTCTGGAATCTATATAAAACATTTGATGCTTAATTATAATTACGATTAATTAAATGAATTAAAATTATACTCACCATATCTACTAATGCTATATATATAAACATTCCTGCAGCAGCTGCAAATATCCAACTACTTATAGCAGGAGTGCTTCCTAATAATACTCCAAATATCATACCAAACAAACAAAGTATGGAAGATAACACATTATAAAAAACAGCCTGTTTAGCACTCATACCAGCTTTTAACAAAACTGCAAAATCTCCTGTTATAAAGGAATAAAGGATAAAAATTCTGAATATTTTATAAGATTTAATAAGTTATTTACTACTATAAGTTATGTTTGTATAATGTACCTATTTCATGAGGTAATTCGTGACAAAATACAGCTATTGCTGTGGAGAAGCCACCCGCTATATTTGCTGAAAAAGCAGCGCCTATAGCCATACCATCTGTGAAATTATGCAAACCATCTCCCATTACTACCATCCAAGCAACACTAGACATAGATTCAGGTGCAGAATGAACGTGGCCTAAACAAATTTTCAAATTATATCGTTTAACAAATATTATATCAGACATAAGATAATATATTTAATAGTACCATGTGAATGAGTATGACCATGATGTTTCATTTCATGTTCGCGTATAATAACAGTATAACTTTCTGATTCATTTAAAGGTATATCTGCACCATCCGTATTTTTCTTAGTATTTACAATTGAATCATC